TCCATGCATCATATGCCTCTCCCTTTCTCTGTTTTTCACACACACACACACACACACACACACACACACACACACATACACACACACGCACACACATGCACGCACGCACGCACGCACGCACGCACGCACGCACGCACGCACGCACGCACGCAGAATTTTTTTTGAGTATACTTACAATAGAAATATATTAAAATTGCAAAGTTTCATATAGAGCGTATTCTCAACATGAATCGATATATCACTTATAATCATGTGATACATTCGCTAACGTAAATTCCGAATGATTCAGACTATGTTTATACTGTTACACGCTCGTATATGTATAAGCATATGTATTTTTAAAGTATCGTTCAAAATTTCCAACCTCCATCTCTTTCATAAAAAAAATTCGATATTTATATAAGTACTCTTTAAACAAAGTATAAATATATAACCAAATTTTTATAGTAAAAATACAAGAAGATAAAGAATTTCTTGTCACATATTTTTTGTCATACATTTAAATGAAAAAAAACAAAGTACAATAAAAAATTTTCCGTTGCAATTTAATATTTGCAATGTTCGCCATTTTTCTAAAATGGTCGTTGATCACGTACAAGAAGAAATTTTGTATATAATCACGCATTAATTTCATTGTAAGAGAGAAGTAGAAAACTTTGAGCGATGCTGCCTGTATGCTCCACTTTGAATAACTTTCATTCGCGGATCCAGTCCGAGAATCGTAGTTGTGATGAGTAAAGTGGGTACTAGATTCCACTAAAGAAGAATTAATAACCAACAAAAAATGGATTAAGAAAGAATTGATAATTCGGTAGAAGGGATTAAGAAAGAATCGATAATAATTCAACAATTAAGTAAGCTAAAAATGTTTTAATGTTCTAAAATTTCTTTAATTTAGAAAATCCAAGGATAACTGAGGATTAAAACATTAAATTTAAAAAAACCAAACTCGCAATATCGATTAATCCATTATTAAAAAGAATTAGTTATCTAGATTACATAAAATCCAAGGAATCTAGTACCTAAGTGATCGAAGATCGGAGAATCTGAAGATCCAAGGATCTTAGGCTATGAGAACATATTTCACAAATCTACAAAAAGAATTTACGTCGGCGAGAAACAAACAACTTCATTCTTCATTCTCATTGTTATCGCGTCGCTTTGTTGTTGGTTTTGACGTCGATCTTCGCGCGGTTTGTGTTCGTACGCGATGTTCGATGAATTAAAGGCAGCCACGCGATACATTTATTAATATTTAATATTGATAATGAGCATTCTATGGCGATCTATATGAATTAATACAAGTGCTCGCCATATGTGTTATCATCCGTTGTTCGATTATTATCGATCGTTTCTGACATCAACGATCGATCTCACATCTTCGCAAAATTTTCATCCTCGATTGCGGCTATATTAAAAATATTAATTAATCCTTTATTGCAAAACACTTGTATATTGTTTATGAGAACGGTACGACAAATTATTTATATTTGCTAATTATTTTAAAATTATTTGTGAGTTATAATTTTTAAAATTTTAAATATTTGTTAATAAAATTTCAAATGTCTCTAATGCCCACCCAAGAAAATTAATACTGAGAAAAGTTATAATCTGAAAATCTACAATAAGAGTTTAAAGAATTCAATAGTTGAAGTTCAAAAAGCCATTTTATCCGTCGATCTATAAATTTGACCTAAAATATTGAATTGATATAAATTAAAAATCATTTTTAATCAAGATTAGTAAAACTTATGTAAACTGCACTCAAAACCTCTCAATAAAGGATTAGCCATTTACGCCTCGCAAACAAAAAAAGAGAATTATCTCATCGAGTTTAGCCGAAATTTGTGTCGAGAAAAATTGTTACGCATTGTATATATTTATGCTCTCTTTAGTTTATTCTCTTTCCTCTCCCTCTCCCTCTATCTATCTCTCACATTTCCATCCTCTTATTTTTCTCTTCTTTTACGGCAGTGTTGTGGACGGTTACGGAATCGACGTCCGTAATCCCAAAAATTTTTCCTACAAGTATACGTGCTAATTTTAATAAATACGTATTTCAACAAACGTCTTTATATAGAACTAGATTTTTAATAAAATTGTATATTATATCATATTTCATATATCATGATTTCATTACGTTGCGACACTCTTTTTCCCCTACTTTGTTTTCTTTTCTTCTTTTTTTTTCTTATTAAGAAACACATTCGGAATAGTGATCTATCCTCGTCGATCTAACTTCTGTCTTTCAAATTCGAATTAATTAATTCTTCCTCGTGACGCAAATGTAATTCGCATGCGTCGCTCAATTTTCGCTTTTTCGTGGATCTCATCTTTGATCCGAGGATTTCATGAATTTCGAAACAGTTATCGATCTTTGAATTGCTTGTAAGATCAATACACAAAGTCATTATAACAATTAAAAATTTGGCACAATATTTCGTGAAACTTGACAAAGTTTATTCATATTTCCTCAATTCGAAGGTTGATATTCACAAAAGGGTATAAATATAAAAATAAAAGTGAATTTTTTAATTATAATCTATGTATCTATTTATCTTTCTAATAAATATTAAATTAAAAAGTTATTTTCTTTTTGTTATCTTGATAGTCAAGATTCCTTTCTATGGTGTCCTATACGACGTATATTTTTATTCAATTTCCTCCAAGAGCAATTCTAGAAGTAATACAACCCTAAAGAATGGGAAATGTGTCAGGATTGAAGAAAAAAGAATTCATAACGAATCTTATGCTCTAAAATTTTAGAACAAATAAGTAAAAAATCGTTAAATACTGGTCAGATCTTGGTGCTTAATAATAATTCCAAATATGTGTAAACTTTAAATACATTTTCCAGTTCTATAAACAGATTACAGATCGGACTTGAACCGCAATCATAAGCTGAAGCTAGAATAATAGGTATTACAATTTAAATTGACCATCAATTTAACAAGTATGCTAATAAGTATCTCAAAGTATTGCAAAAGATTTATTGTGAAAAATATTATTTAGATTTCAAATTTAGATTTCAAGAGTTAAGGAACATAGAATTTACAATATTTAAGATTTAAAGCATCTAGAATCATAGATATTTAGATTTGAAGCCTGTTCGGTTTAAGATATCTGAAATTTAAGGATTTAAAGAATCTAGAATTATAATTATTAGAATTATAATTTAAAGTCTAAGATATTTTACGATATTTAGAGAATTCTAAGATACATAATTGAAAAAATCCAAGATCCAAGATTACGAATAAATTGCAATCTAAGAAGATTAAGATACAAAATAATTAAAAAAGCGTAGGAATCTACAAAGAAGGATGTTAAGTTAGAGCTGTTTTTTTTTACTAAAATGAAAAAATTTCGAGTATAAATTATGTATCATATTAAAGGACTATTTAAGCAGAGTCGAGTGTATCGCTTATCTTAATATGAACATCAGGTATATGAAAGAAATCGTTATAAAAAGTCAATAAAGCTTTGTTATTTAGTTAGAATGTGATTTTGAGGGTTTTGCAAGAGATAGCACTAGTGTCAATGTTGTCGAAGACAACCACAGCTATTATTTCTTAATGCTTTAATATTACTCCATGATATTTAGTCGTTTACCAACAATAGACGCAGTAAACATCATGTTTATACCACTTTAAAAATGAAGCTTCGTAAAGAGCATTTTCGACATGCGTTGTTTTTGTTTTTTAGTCAGAAGAAAACGACGATTGAAGGTTACAGAATTCTGATAAAAATTTATGGTGACGTTGCTCCATCAATTAAGACTTAAGACATATGAATATTGGTTCTGTCGGTTCAAACGTGGCGATTTCAATGTTAACGACAAAAGTTGGAAAATGCAGATTTGCAAGCATTGTTGAAAATCCAGCACAATCTTCAGAACTTGCCAGAGAATTAAATGTTGATTATACAATAGTTATTAAACGTTTACGTGATACGTTGTTTAAATAAATCAGTTTTTGAGAAAAAAAACCCTCAAAACTGTAAATCACACTCCTAATATTAATAAAAAATTGTTAATTAAGGCATCAAAATATCCTGGAAATTAAGTAACAAATGTTATTGTTACTTAAACACATATAACTTAGAGAATTTTCAAGCAATTGACGAACGACAAAGAGTCCGATACAAAATAATTGTTTGGTTTCAAATTCTAATTTTGAATAATAAATATGTTTATCAAATTAGTGTTTAAATAATAAAAGTTTTTGCTGCTTAATTCGCGAAATATATTGATATCTTGTTTAAGAATTTTTAATTTTATTGTCTTTTTTTTATACGATTTCTGCCCGATATTTCATCAAGATAAGCGATATACCACTCGACTCTGCTTAAGTAGCCCTTTAATATGACATATAATTTTTACATCTCGGAACTTTTTCATTTTAGCCGAGAAACAGCCCTAACTTAGCATCCTCCTTTGAAACTTTCTTCCGAGAATCTTAGAGCCAAACATTTTTTAAAGAAACATCCTGAATAAAAAATAAAGGTATTCTGGATATATCTAGAATTGGAAAATTTTTAGACTCCTTGAAACTTGTAAGATTAGTATTATAAATTCTAAACGTACACAGGAACTTACAGAGAATCTTAAGATTTTAAAAGACTAATATCAGAAATCTCCTAAAAAATCCTAGGAAATCCTAAAGGAGGAATTCCGAAATATTAAAAAATTCTAAGAGTATCCTGAGAAGTTTTAGAAGACTTAATCTATAAAAAAGCCTAAGTTCATCAAACCTTAAGCAATTAATTCTGTAGAACTTTCATATATTTGGCACAAAACTGCATCTTTTAACATTAGAAAATTTCTCTAGAAAAGAAAAACCCAAGCTCACTGGGAATTCTTAAAGGATCATAGAGATCCTAAGAAAATTTTAGAAAATGCTATAGATTCTAAAAAAAAATCATTAAAAAGTTGGTTTGAATGAATTTTCAAAAAATCCTCGGAGTCAATGAAGATACTACGTGTTATCCCATACAGCATACTTTATCCCAGAGATTTTCCTAGGAACGTTTTCTCAGGACGTTGGCATGTTTTCAAGATATCCTTCAGAACATCTCTTGAAGATCTGTGCTATATGGGATCTTTGTTCTTATTTCCGTTTGCAACGTGCCTAATTTAATAATAACCTGGAATAGGTGTATAATCTATCTATCTATCTATCTAGTAAAACAGCATCATATTAAAGTCTATCTTCCTCTTCCTCTTCATTATCCTCGTTATTTTCTTCGGACTCCTCTTTGTAACCAGGATGTTCCGAGATTGCGTAATAATTCCCATTGTAGATCACACCGAGCTCCCGCAGGACATCACCCCGTATAAGCGCCTTGATCGTCCAATTATAGCACTCCTCGCTCTCGCTTTCGCGATCCAGCCGCTCGACGTCGAGGATTTTAGAGCTGAGTCGCTCCAATATGATACCAATGTCCTTGATGCTAAGATGATGTTTCTGATCGACCGTCAGCTGATCGATCAGTAGCAGAAATTTTTCCGAGGTCACGAATTCATCCTCCATTATTGTATTTTCCGTTTCGGACTCGGAACTGTCATGTTCTTGGTGATGATGATTATGATGCAAGTGAAAGTGGGTAACGGCACCGGCCAGACGCGAGCTTGATTCCTCGTCGGCGGTATCGCGAAAGCGAACATGACCTTTACTCAGGCCAGGTCGCTTGGTGCCGTCCGAAAGGGAGGATGGCGGTTGTGGCGACGGTGTTTGTGTTTGCGTTTGCTGTTGTTGCTGTTGATGCGGATGATGTGGGTGTTGATATTGCGCATGCTGCGCATCCTGGATCGGCGATGTCGCCACCGATTTGTGTACAGCGATTCTGCGGCCTTCCTCGTGAAGAGCGCAGCAGTGGAAGTCGCACTCGCCGATGGCACCACCGTCGGCGCCATTCACGGGACTGCCATTTCGCGCTACCGGCTGATGAATGTGGTTGGAGCATTCAGGTGTGTGGATGTGGATGGTTGTACTGTCGAATGAATTCGTGCCTTGCTTCACTAGACGGCCCGGCATGTGCGACTGCATCGGCTGCTGCTGCTAGGATGAAGATGAATTTACAGCGAGATAGAAAGTTATTATTTACTTTACAAAATGTGTATTAATATTTTAAAAATAAGACAAATAACAACGCGCACACACACACACAGGCACGCATACATGCATACGGTCGAATCAAAGAATTAGATGATATAATAGTAAACTAATCCATTTTTTTAAAAACTTTAATGAATTAACATAAAAAACTAATGTCGTATTGATCTTTTTAATCGTAAATGATTTGTATTTTGATTGAATTTCATAAATTGTGATTAATATGAGACTCCAATTTATAGCTATAGATTAAGCGCTTGGATTAATTATGGTTGAGAGATTGAAAAGTTCAGTGCAACGTTGAACTAAGTCATTTTCTTAAAAGCACGAATGAATTAGTTTTTTCAGGATTTCAAGAAAATTGATTATAGGTATTGCTATCACACTGATCCTATCAATTGTAGATTCTGCGATAAGCTCAGGAATTTGCGGATTAAACTAAAATTTAAAGCTAAAATCCTTGAAGTAATAAAATTGCAGATTGAATATACCATATCGTCATGATTTATCACAGTGATTCGCGGACTGGTGTACCGCGTCGGGGCGATCTCGCCGGGCAAGTGCGTTGCCTTGCCATCATAGCCGAGTTTGTCCAAGCTGGTTTGGATCACCAGGGACGGCCGCTGGGCGCCACTCAGGTCAGCTTTCTTAGTCGGTGAGTACTTGGAAGTCTGGGCGTCCTGGCCTGCCTTTGATTGTTGCTGCTGCACCTGCGATGACGACGACGAGCGCTGGTCCCAGTGTAATACCACTGTGACTCGGCCTTTATTGTCCATGATTTTCCACGATGGCGTCTCATCGTGCAACTCCAGCGCGTGGATCGTCTCGCAGACTATTTTCGGGATCGCCGAAATTGCTGAGAAAGAGAAAGAGAGAACGAGTTATCAATTATCGATGGACGCGGCTGCGGGGGATACGGGCCGGGTGGTGTTCGGTGCTGCAAGGCGTGACAATCAGTGCCGGTGATCCATCGCAATAGTGCGAGATCCACAGATCTTATAAGGAAATCAAAAAACTTACAATTTAAAAGTCTAAAGAGATTTCGGGTGATAAAGATTGTTTTAAAAATCCAAAACATCTAAAGAGAGCTTAAGAATAGAAGAAAACCTACTTGGTTGATCGTTTAAAGGCTTGTGTGTGTGTAAGGATTCAGTTTGATCCACATGTAATTCAGTTTGATCAGTTTCAATTTTATCAGTTGCCTCGAGATTAGTTTCCTCAACCAAGTTGTCGATTTCCATCAACCAAAGTTGATCGTTGTAATATCCCCTTTACATAGCAGTGCGTATGATTCTAAAGAAGCTATATATTCGAGGGTTCAAAAATCTAGAAAGTCGAAACATTTGAGAACAGAAGAAAAGCTACTTGGTTGATTCAAAGGTCTCTGAAAAAATTTAATTTTTATTTGTGAGAGAAATGATTCAATTAATCTAATTTACAATATATGTCTAAATGATACTCTGATTATCCCGGTCTTTTAAATTCAGTTCTTTTAAATTCTTTATATATTTTCGCGTTTTCTTTAGATGTCTTTGAATTTTCTGTGTCATCCGTGTTGTTTCAACCTTAACTTTCTCAACCAAGTTGCCGATTTCTCCTAAGATCGATCTGTGTAATGTCCTTTTCACCTACCAGCGCGTATGATGTCGACGCCAGTAGGACACCAGCGTTCACCATGCCGCAACAAGAGCAGGATCGTGTTGTTTCCTAGTGTTTTGAAGTACTCGCCGTCCTCGACTTGCGTGCCGTCCGACTCCAAAACTAACGAGACATTCTCGTTTTGTGGTACACCCAGCTTTTCCTTACCTGAAAGCAAGGGTTGGCCGAGGGTTGGGGTGTCAGATAGTGTTCAGGCATAGTGATAACGCTTTAACGTCAATGTGTGGGTGTGTGCGTATGCGTATGTTATATATTCCATGTGAGTGAGTGTGCATATGCGTGTGCCACGTGTCGCATGTACTGTTTAATCGTGTGAATGGAGCAGTTGCGAATAATGGTGGTGCGTCCTCGAACGAACGAACGAATGAACGAACGGCGCTTTGTTTCTGAGAAATGTTGCGAGAAATGTGTGTTGCGAGAGCGACACTTTCAAAGGAACTTTACAGATAATGCAATTCCGTGCTGTGATACGCTGCGCGGAAATATTTCCGACCGGAAATATTTCTTCGTCGGTCAGCCGGACAGGTGGAAAGAGAGTGCTCCGGAAGGACAATGCGTATGACGCTTGCAGAAGTTATCCCGAGTATAATATGCATCGGTTTTTTGTAATGAGTCTAACATCTTCCAAAGTCTTTCTGAGATTTTTTAAAATCAAGGAGTAAACTGTTGACCAAAATTGTGTACACCAATGCCTACCAATGCTTAGTAATGCCCAAGTAATGTCCAAATTTTATGCCCATTAATGCCCAAATTTTATGCCCACTAATGCCTTAGTAATGCCTAACCTCATCGCTTAATATAATACTCAATTCTCTTAAGTAATGCCCAGTAATGTCCAGTAATGCTCCAAATTTGTGCACTGTAATGCTCTCAGAGGTTTACCTCTTGTTTAAAATCTTAAAAGTCTTTTCAGTTTCGAAAAAATGTTCTACGAAAAAAAGCGATTCTTGTAACTAACAATTTGATCCAATAACTTAATTGATCTAATAACTTGAATATCGTAAAAAAATTAATATATTACTATAATACGCTACTGTTGCAACAGGAAACTGTTAAATTAGATATTTTGAAAGCGTATCTTTAAATAAGGTGCAGATTGTTTTAACGATGACACAGGAAGCAAGCTTTAATGTCTAACAATAAGTTTGTTATAATGCAATTTGGATTTTAATTGTCTTTGCTTATAATTTATGAATAACTTCTTAGATTTAGATCTTTCTCACCTCGAACAATCAACTCTTCGAAATTGCTAACGACCAGTCCTTTTCTTACGTTACGCCAGCTGTCCCATATCTTGAAAGGTCTCTTGGTCCGTAACTCCTAAAAAATATATAATTAGCATTAATATCAGTTACAGAGATTAAAATGTGAAATAATTATTATTTTTTAATAAAAAATAGAATGGTAATTTAGAAAAATATTAAATATATATTTTAAGTTTAAAGTGAAAATCAAGTATCAGAAGAGAAAGACAGAAAAGTTTACATGATAGAAAGGGCATGACATCTGACATCATTAATTTTAGTGCAGTGAAAAAAATGCCGGTGTACTGCACTTTAATGCACGGTAAAGTTAAAAATGGCTGACATTTGCGATTTATTATTGACCTTAAATGTTCTCCGGAAGCTTGTGTAGCTTGCAGACATTTAAAGCGCTTTGTAAAAATAAAGATATTGAACATAAGAAAAAAGGCAAAATAGCAGACTTCTGTTGGCATTAGTTGAATCACGTAATTTATACATAATAGTTTTAGTTTTATAGTACAATTTTTCGTGATTTTAGACAATATAACGTAATATATACATATATTGTGCGTTTAAAATTTGGAAAATTTATAAATATGTACATAAACGAAAAAATTATTAAAATATAGAATTTTCTTACGTTTATTGTGTGTGTGTGTGTGTGTGTGTGTGTGTGTGTGTGTGTGTGTGTGTGTGTGTGTGTGTGTGTGTGTGTGTAAGAAAGAAATAAAGAGATTTTACGAATAGGAAATGATTCATACACAAATTAAAAATAATTCGCGACAAGAAAAGCGAGTGAAAGCCTGAAGAGCTGACCCCGGATAACGTTTGTCGCCCAGATGTTAAATGGAGTAAATAATTTTCCAGTATGTATACTTCGTATTACATAGTCGCCATATAGAACGGCTAATAAATAAAATCTCGTATATAAAACTATCAAATATTTCACTATTTAAAAAATTTTTAATATAACGCTGCAACATGATTGCATCTTACATTTATTTATTTGTACAAGTATGGTACAAATTTAAGTGAAAATTAAAAATGTACAATATAACATGTAGAACATACAAGATTATAAAAATTATTCTAAGTCCACTAACATACGACTGTAACTAACAATCGAAACAATAAAACAATATAAAAATGATTACAAAACTAAAATCAATGATTAGATTAATGCAGTTACTGCATTTGGGAATTTGAGAGTTTAACGATTTCTAGATCTGAACTTAAAGATTCAACACTGTACATCTAAGAATCTAAAGGTCTAAAATCTACCCCTTCTCTCAGATCTTGAAATTTAGAAATTTGAATATTCAAATATATTTACAATTTCTGCAAGCATTCAAAATTTGCAACGCAAATTTCTATACTTATGTTAGATTTACATATATGTCAGGTAGCGAAGAACTAATTTATATCGAATCATAAAGCGATCATATATAATGACATTCTAATGATATTGAAAATGTAAACGCAATAATGCATGGCGGGACACTTACAGCAATGTATCTTTCCACGAACTTTCCACTCGAAGATGTTTATCAGGAAGTGAATTATTTCGTTAATTTACTTTAATTTACTCGGTTTATTTTAGAGGTGCATTTACTCTATACAATTTATTCGCGAATATTCGCCTCTATCTCGTTTCGTGCACTCTATCGTACTTCGCACTGTGGATAGGTACATCTGCACTCTTCGATCGGCGAGATTGCATCCCGACGTCGCTAGCGATCTCGAAATAATGCGAGCCGAAGGGGTGCATTATGTTTGAGATTGTCCTTAGTCCTCAACGGGGTGGCGCTAAGGGTACGAGACGCGTGCGCAGTTTATGATCGAAAGCACTGACCTGGTTTAACCGGTCTTAACTTGTAATATCGCTTATTTATTCTGTGCACAGTCGGATTTACCGATTATTCATTGTTCATACTATATCTAATATATCATTATTATATTTGTTAAACATTTATAATTATTAAATACGTGCGCCACAGCAAGGTAATGTACATCATATACGAATACTCGATGTTCAACTAGATGTAAAAAATTGTATTTATTTATTTTTATTTTGCATAGACGAGTTATTTGCATTTTTATTTGTTGTTATCTTTCATATTTTATTATTCGTTAAGACTATAAATATTTCAAAATTAAGAAGTATCAGAATTTAAAGTACAACGTTCCAAACACTTTTATGCTTTTTTTTATCTAACGATCCGATATTTATCGAGATATTCGAAGATCTATAGATTTAATTAATTGAAGGAGATTAAGAAAATTACAAAAATATGTAAACAATTAAAAAGATAAGTGACACACAAGTTTATATAGTAACACAATAATAATCCAAAAATAATAATTCACAACGTTGCATAAAAATACAAAAAAAATGAATAAAAATCAAAGAAATTAAGAATCAAAGTGTGTGTTCAAAATCTGAGAATTCAGAGATTCTAAAGGCCTAAAATTGAATGTTTATCTTAACTATACGAATATCAACCTCTCCCATGTAATAACCCCTCGCTTCCACGAACTCGCTGTGGAAGGAACTTAGTAAACATCGCAACGTGCTAACGAGCAAATAGGGAACCGCCTGCAGCTGCGATGCGAATGTACCCAGGTGCATCCCTTAACGAATTATCGTCTAGACCCGCCGCTGTCGACTACTACGCGAATTTTTTATTTACTTAAATCCGTCACACTCAGAGGATTCTAAAGTCGTGGAATTTGAAATATCCAACGAGTCAAGAATAATGCTAAACAAATATTAACGAAACATTTCTTTGTAACGAAGCGATATAATTTTAATGCATTTGCATTGTTCTTAGATATTCGCCTTAATTAAGATATTTATTTATGTTAAATATATATATATATTTTTTTTTAAGAAACAATTCGGTTCTGTACAGAAGCTATGCGTTTAACGGATTATTTCTATGTGTTTAGATTCATTATTACTATTAGATATGTTATTAAATTACCAACGTTTCGTGAACATTGCAGTTCACTTCATTAAGGCGAGGAGCAACCTGATGCTAAACCTAACTCGATTTTGCATGTATTTAGAAACCTTTACTTGAAATTATTTATATAACATACAAAAGTGTAGATTTTTTCAAAAAAATTATAAAAACTCAGATATTCTTTACAAAAAATTTGAAATTCACCTTTTCAAATTCGTTTTTAGTATTAATAAAAGTTATTTAATAAAAAATTTATAATTGTATATACAGTTTATTTAATTATTTATTACATTTGAATTTGTTTTTCTTATAAATTGTAAGTAGAGCCAAACTGTAAATTCGAAAGAAATCTTTTTTGGAATATTTCGGGAAATCTGGCATAAAATTGTAAATACGACAAGAAACCTCTGCAATGAAACAAAGATATGGAATTTTATGAAACGTGAAAAATGATGATAAGGATTTTGCATGGAAGAGTCCGCGAACGTGCAGAACGACGAGAAGAATTTTGCGAGCATGCAGAACATACAATGAGGCACAGAGCGTTTTCTGAGAGAGAAAAGCATTCCAGCAACGAAAAAGTAACATTCTCGCGACTCTGCTTTGTGTATAATTTTCAATATAAACAGGTCGAGAGAGAATATTTGCAAAAAGCGTATTGAATTTAAAATTTGTATCTTGCGGACTTCTTCAAGAAGATTCCAGCAATTAATAATGATACAAGGATTCCAGAATCCTGCAAATCAGTAAAGCGGAATCTACGAGCGAGTAAAATAGGGTGTATTGTAAGAAGGCAATGAGGACGAGTCTATATGAGCAGGGAAAAGCATGAAGAAAGTTTCTAACAGTAGACAAAACGGATGCAAGGACTCTGTGAAAACGTAAAAGCGATGAACTAGCTTTTATTGAGGAATAAAATGAACGAAGCGGATGTTTTCAATGGAAAAAATATTATAGAAGAATCTACATACTAAAATGATAAGGAAGATTCTACTGATGTTAAAAAACTTTGTAGAAAGTTTTGTTAATAAGAGATAAATATTAATAATAATTTCACAAAGGAGATTTTAATCATTCAATATAAAATAAAATAATAAGAAATATACTTAGGAGCTAAAAGAAACAAATAATAAAAGTTTTTAGAAACATGCGAAGATAAATATTAATCAATGTTTTTAAGATAATTAAAAATTATCTTAAAAAATAATTATTAATAATTATTAAGAAAGATGCACATATATATGAAGAACATGCCAATAGAAAGATGTACATATACGAAGAGTATGCCAAAATAGAAAGAATTATTACTAATTAACGCAGAGAATTATGATGAAATGTTACTCTAAAACAAAAGAAAACATGAATAATAAATGAGAAAAATCTTAAATATTCCAGTTCCGATTTTCTATTTATTAAAAGGTACGTTCGAACATGTTTCCTTTTTATTTATTATTCCCTTTAGAAATCGTGGATTATGATAAACGACTTGAATCATAACTCTGAACATATCCACAAACTAGGACAACAGCAGTGAGTGTCTCTACAACTATGTGCTTTCATATTACAAATGAAGAAAAACCGTGTTCATTACAATGGTGCGAAGGTTTAGGAATTTCAGGAATTATCGAGAAATGTAATCCTCAGTATCTTAATCAGGATAGGATTCTAAATACACACACGACATAATTTAATAAAGCGAAATAAATCCTTACGAAGACAGACGTTCAAAGTTATAGCAAGGATTAATCGCGAAGGGTACTCCGAGCAAACAGAATCCTGCAATCGGGAGGTTTCAGAAAAGGCAATCTCCTAAGCACACAGAGTTGCCCCGAAAGAGCGAAATGAGGCCGCGCGATTCTACGAGCGAAAAAGTGGAACATTCGCGCGAACATTTCTTTATGGAGGAACGCGTATCTATCGAGAAGGAAGGAACGGGCTAAAGGGCTCGTCCCTTCGGCCGTTCGGCCTTGCCGAGAGGGTGATGCACTTTGGGGGGGTGCAAACTGAGGACCGATCGTCGGGTGTCACGAGGTCACGTGAAAATAGGTCATCGCGAGGCGTCCTCACCGTGAAGAGAAAACTTCCACGACATCAATGATTTCTCTTGTTCACGATACAAATAAGTAGAAATTCTTCTTTCCTCTCCCTTCCTCCATTACAGAGGTGATTTGCAGGGTGGATGCTGCATGCGCGTGAGAAAGGAAGGAAGCTGCCGGAAGGAAATGCGTACCTCTCTTGCCATTACGTCATAGCCCTGCAGGTAAGGAACCGTCCCAGCAGCAAACGCGCGGCTTTATTCCGAAGGAACGACCACCAAGGCGAAAGGGAAGAAGGTTGCACGTCGCATTATATATAGGAGGATGCTGCTCTCTGGTCGCGCTGCTGTCCGCCCAACTTGCTCGTGCGTACACTCTCGCAAGGTGTCTCTCTTTCTCTCTTGTCTTCACACACCGTCTATGTCCCTCTCTCCTTCTTCTCTTTCTCTTTTCTTCTTTTTTCTTCTTAACGGGTGCGACACTTTGCTTGGCCGGCCGTCTACTTGATTGGACTTTCACTGGTCGGATAGCGGCGGGCTGTAGCTACTGGTCGGCTAGCTGACTGACTTGTATCACTGATGACACACCGTGGAATCTTCCCTTCTTCATGCGGCTGCTCCTCGCCGTTCTTGTTGCACCCGCGGCGCCGCGCCTCGCTCCGTCCCGCTCGCTCGCACGTACGTACGCGAGGTAGACGAGGGCGAGGAATACACAACACCCTTCGTTATATCTTGCAATTAAAGCACGGTCGCCCCCGGCCGGCCGCCCCTGTGCTGCCGTGCCGCCAGGATAGATAGTGGAAGAGAGAGGGCGATTGAACGGCGAGGAGCGACGAGGAGGGGCTGCGGCGACGTACGTACGTCCGTCGACGTGGACGTACCTGGCCTGACGACCGTGCCGTGCGTACGTGCGATTAACAGGCGTGTGTTTAAGATTTCACTGGCGCATACGACAGAGGCCCCCGCGAATTGTAACACTGGCTTCCTCCCAGCAATTACTGCGGCGACTCCTAGTTTTAGATCGATTCTCCTACGATACGTACCGCCGTACGCCGCGAGGGGTCGGAAGGGCCGCTCTGCACGTACCACCCTCTTCTGTCATCTGCCCTCCCACCTCGCCACCACCCTATCGCCACCTGAAATCCTAGGAAACCTCACCCTGCGAACGCCACGACAGCCGACCCTGCAACTACGTAGGAATGCCACCCCTGAGGATACGGCGAAGATCTCATTGGGAGATCTCGAGGGGTGAGATCTCTCTGTGGATAAACGCGATTCTAGACAACGATAAAGTCAACTGATGCCCATTTTAATGTAGATTAACTTTAATCTTGGTTCAATATTTTATTCTCTTCATCTTTTTCTATTTCTTAGAATCGAAAGAGTAAGTTGAACCGAGATTAAAATTAAACTATGTTGTTAGAAACTTATTGGGACATGAATCCGGATAAAAGGAATTTTTCCTTCGGAAGGTGATGAATAGGTATTTTCTTGACCAAGAGTTGAAATGGAAAATATCGAATGGAAGTACATGATCCCAGCATGGTCAAACAGTCAAATTTCACACAAGAGAGGAACATTTCTAAGACTATATCTCTTAAACTTATCCACAATGTTTTTTTTGCTTCCTGTTTCTTGTTTTTTACCTCATGCTTTTTTTCTTCTTTGCGATTTTATCGGCAATCGCATTTCTTTTTACGTTTCTTGACTCTTCCGAAGTTCCTCAATTTTTATTTCGGTTACAGGGAACGAAAAAACTGAGTAAAAAAACTGTTACGTTATTTGCGTTAAAATCTGCGATGTCGAAGAACAAATAAACATAACTCGTAAGAACGTCAAGAAATTTATTTTAAAGCTCAATTCCGACACGTCATATTTAAAGTCAAGATTGATCGTCACTTTAAAACAAAACAAGGTACTCGCTCAGATGAACAATTTCATACACTTGAAAGACTCGAAAGATCGAGTGTTGCATATGCACACACAACTCAACATTTCTTCTCTCCTAAGGACGTTTGTGTCGTGTCCCAATCTTGTAATCCAAATAGAGTTGTCATAGAAGTCGTTCGGAACGTTGAACTTCCACCTTCGAAGTCAGTACATCCGTCTCTGAAGCTACCTGAAGTCGCTCTGCAGAAACCACTTCAGGAATAACTCTAGTAGATGTAGCAAGAGCAGAAACAGACGTGCCTTCCGTAGAATTTTCACTTGCAAGAGTGGGAACAGAAAGAGAGAGAGAGGCGCGTTAGAGACTAGTTGTCCGGTGGATAGTTGTTCAGTTGAGGAAAGATATTTTTCATCAATAAACTCCGGGGTTCTAGCATGCATAGCCGTCCGGTCCCAGATTTGATTGAAATGACAAATCAGGAAACCGCTATCAAAGCTGATTCGAGCAATAGAACCTATTATCTTGTCTATGTATATAGTTCCAGGAATTCGTTTGCCATTAGACAGCTTAATGAAAACAGGTTGACCTGAAACAAAAAGACGCGGCTTAGCGTCGTAATGAGAGTCAAACTGTCTCTTTATTTCCTTCTGACGACGAGTATAAAAAGCAGTGGATAGCGACAGTGAACGTAAAAATGTGGAATCATTGAAAGATCATTGAAGGACAATTCACTTAAGTTTCTTAGGAGAAAGATGATTGAGCAAAAATACTCGTCATCTCTATAAGCGCATTAAGGAGTAATTCCTTGCACTCTTCCACAGATAACCCTTTAGAGCCTTCCTCAAAAGTACAAGCATTTCGTTCAAACCACAACGAGAAGGTTTTACCTTTACGAAACTTACGAAATGATGTACATATTTTAATCAAATACAAAGAATTTATTGTAAATAAATGAGGTGTTAAGTATATAATCGTTCTTTCATTGTAATTTACTTGCATTTATGCATATGTGCATTTTGTATTTCTCCGATACGTAAGAAAATCCATCACCCTTGTTTACGACACATGCATCGCCATGGCGATGCGTTGGGCAACGCATAAATAAGTGCGTTTGCGGTATCTGCCCGTCAATGCACGTAAGTTTGTCGACCAATTCAGTATCCCGTTTATGCATTTTTATAATCATACGTAATATACATCAAATGAATATGGCAGCGAAGAATTTACATGACAAAAAGTGCGATTTCAATCAAAATTTGATCGAACCGTCTCGTTCGTTTAAACAGTGCAACGCGATAAATAAATTGGAAAAAGATAGCAATATTGAAATCGCGGAATGTAATCCAATGGATTTACTAGCCATCGACGTAAAATATGATAGCAATCTGGAGTCAGTAATGTGCAAATATTCGGAACAAGTGAGCAATAAAATTTAATTTTCTAAATTTAACAAACACACCAACTAATAGTAACATAACTGTTGGTTATAATTTCCTACATAACAATATAACACATGTTGTATGTATGTAATAGTTATATCGTTGAATGAGAAAACTATTATATAATTAAAGTTATGTTATTGTTAATTTGGTGTTTGCCGGGAAGTTAATTTTTAAGAATAAAGTCTCTGATTTATTTAAGGATCATATATCGGCATTTACAAATACAATAGTTCTGTTCTATTATTAAAAATCAAATAATATAACTCAATGGGTGTAGATCGAACCGGAGAAAGACGCTACAAACAAATATGGGTCAATCTTAACAACTTACGAAGACATAATGTCCTTCCTGGGAACGCTAGAAAATGGTACTAATGTTTAATAGACCAGCATCGTTAATACGTTGAATGCCATAGGAGTCACTGATGACCGGCATTCAGTTCGTCGGTAGCGCTGTAGGGGACATCCGGTGACCGGTGATGTCAAGATTAATAGAAATACATAATTTAAATAAATGTCAATATTACCGTCGTTATTACAATAGTGTGAAGAAATTAATGCAGTATAGAATATATAAAAATAGTTTTATTTATACATATAAAATGTATGTGTATGTATCGCATGATAGCAGATTCATGTTGGCGCCTTGGGCAAGTCACGTAATATCAGCGTGGCATTCAACGTGTTAAAATTGTATTTAAAATTGAGAGTCCTGCTTATTTTATTTGTAAAATAATCTAAGCTTTATGTAATATCTTTATTGTAGAAGATACGCTAGAAAATGACATCACCGCCAATAATGCAACAATTATAATTTCGTCTTGCCAAAATTCTAATGGGTAGGGAACTGACTTTCTCTAATAGCTTATAAGTGAAATATATCACGTGTTAAAAAACGGACAAAAATTTTATAAAACTTTTTTCATAGGTACGATGTACATAATTTTGGTTCAATTCAACGGGATGATTTAGAAACTGCGAAATTACAAATTGAGGAAAGAAATGCGACGATAGAGTGTTTGAAAGAGCATCTAAAATCCGAGCGCAAGGCGGCGTGTGACAAAATGTCATCGCAGAAACGTCATCATATTGTCAAGATGAAGGAGCTGGAGAATAAGTACAGAACGATCGTGAAACGCCATCAGAAGTTTATCGAACAGCTACTCGCTGAGAAGACAGATCTTACGCAGAAATGTGACTCTCTGGCGCAACAAATTAAAGAGATGGAACAAAAGATCCAGAGAGATCTGAAAGTAATTACCGAGAGACACGTAGTTGAGTTGCAACGCGCGAAGGAACATGTAGTAGCATCCGAGAAAATCCGGCGCGAAAGATGGTTGGAGGTGAAAACGTCGAAAATCAAGGTCATCAAGATTAATTCACACCAATTATTATTAGCAAATATAATTCACACGCATAAGGGCTCGCTTTTGATTTTGAAATTAGAAATGCAATTCTTTCATTTATGCAAGATATTCCATCGATATAATGACAATGCAAATAAAATTTTATACAATGTAATGAAATTATACGGAGACAAATAATTAAAATTGATGCGTTGATTACTGATATCGCAGGAAATGACAGTAAAAGGGCTGGAACCAGAATTGCACAATATGATGGAACAACATCAACAAGAGATACAAGAGTTAAGACGCGCGCATATAAAGGAGTTACAAGATACAGAATTGCGCGTGATGCGTAGATCGAATCAACAGCTGGAGCAATTGCGAATCGAGTTGACGGACAGCCATGAGAAAATGTTGGCTAAAGAGAAAAACATATTGGCCACAAGGTATGGGAATTCTGCCGCCTTGATTGATTTTAGTTAAGTATATATAAATCATAATTGACTAGGTATAAAGAAAATCTGGAAGAGCAAGAAGCGCACTTTCAAATACAACAGAAAACATTCGCGGAGCATTTCGAAGAAGAGAAATCGATGCTCATTGCAGAGCAAAAGAAACGTGACCAGGAAACAAGCGTGATGATACAACGAACGGAATTGCATTTTCAAGTCCGTTTTACAATAAAATTATTCTATTATTGATAAAAAAACCTAATCATTTAATAGTGATTTATACAATCATTGAACTTTTCTTTGCAGAGAGAAATGGAAAAATTAAAAGAGCAACACGAAATTGCTAACAGGAATTTCGAGGAAACCTTGAGAAAAGAATGGCTCGCGTGGGCGGATAATTATAAAAAAGAACAAAGCACGATTTTTACAAGAATGGAGGCTGCAATTCGTAACGATTGTCAAAAGGAAAGAGACAAGCAAATAGAAATTGTTATAGTTAGATTGGAAAAAGAAGCTCGTGAAATGCGAGCTAAGTTGCAGCAAAGTTTTGATAATAAATTGGAGTAAGTTCACATCTCTCTCTCTCTCTCTCTCTCTCTCTCTCTCTCTCTCTCTTCTCTAATATAAAAATGTAAAGAAAATCTTCACAATTCAATTATTGAAATTGTTTTCAGGATAATAAATGAAGATTATGATACAAAATTGCAAGCTGCAATTAAAAACGAGGACATTTACAAAAATAAGTTATTATTATTGGAAGAAAGACTCAAATGTAGAGAAATTCAGTTTAAAAAAACAGAAAATAAATTAAAAGAATGCACGTCGAATCTCAATAATATGAATAAAGTAAATTTTATGGAAATAACTGATTAATTAGGTACAG